GTAGGGATGGAATCAAAAAGTGGTTCTTTTATTTTTAATTGCACAAAAGGACGAGAGCGCGACGGTAAAGTGCAGACTGCTCCAGGACAGACACAGCTGCATTACACTGCTAACACAACTTCAGCTCTTTGCAAGCACATGCAGACAGCATGCTAACGCTAAGCTAACCAAGAGTGATGTTAAAGCTGGGTAAATGCTGACCCCAGACCAGCACCGTGATGAAGTGAGCAGCTGCTGAACCTCAACAGGTAACGAAGGGATGAGCTTCTGTTCTACCTGTTCATGTTTCTACAGTAGAATCACCATGACGACTGCTCTCTTTGTGCTGGTTTTCCTCTTTGCTTTATGTTGTCAGAAAAAGTGTATGCAGTGACAATGTCTGCTATGTCTTCTAATGATGCTGCCTAAGGGAAGCATGTATGATGTAAACAGACTTGGTCCTAGCACTGAACCCTGTGGAACTCCATGATTAACCTCAGTGTGTGAACAAATCGGAGTCTATTACATAGATATGATACAAACAGATAGCTGGCTTCTACACAACCAAACTTCTTTTCGCCCCCTGCTGGCCATTAGAAAGTCTGCAGACGAATACACTCCAGACCAAAGCAGCCTGCAGTGCATGATTTTACTGCTCAGGTCATTGTAACTTTCTCTCTACTTATTCAGGGAATAAGTACTTTTTGTTCCATTTCTTTCCTTCTTGTTCCTCGCTGAGGCTTCACAGAGACAAATTCCCAATGGATCAAAGCATGACGTCAACAGATTAAAGCCCAAAGCAGAGCAGGAGCTCTGTTCTCTCCGAGGATAGAAACAGTGAGTGTAAACATCTCATTTATTCAACCACTCCCTTCATCCAACACCGCTGCATGGTTTTATTTCTAATGGTTTAAGATTTGATTGGATTCTCAGGTCGCTGTCACGACCCGGGCGAAAGCAGCTACAAGACTCTACAACACGCAGCGAAAAGCGACACGCAGCTTTAAAATTCATGCTCATTAAAAATAGACAGCAGATTGTTTTATGTATAATGCAACACATGTCAGGGATAATGAGCTGCACGACAGGAAACAAGTCGGTCAAAACCCAGCAGACTCCTCATGTGAGAGGAGAGCAGCTTTATTTACGGTTTGGATGAAGAGGCCTGCATCTGCGAACGCTGATGTTTGCAGCCACCCGCACTGCCTGCAACCTTTAAATATAATACTTCCCTCTTTGCCAAGCAGGGAAGCAGGTCGTGACTTAAAGTTCTGTCTTTGTTTCTCCCACGAAATGTGATGCGGTGCACTACAGAAGCTCAGCAGAGCATGTGTGAATGAAGAAGGAAAAAATCTCTTTCATTGTTCACTAAAATCCTTTGGACTCCCTGAGTTTAGCTCTGAAAGACGTTCCACACTACTGCGTAACATTAACTCAGAGAAACTCATCAATCCTGGAACTGGCTCATTTCTTCTGACATCAACTGGTCTTTTTCCAGTGGGGCGAT